TGAGCACCACAGGTGTTTGTAGAAAACATTAGTAAGGAATTAAAGAAGGACAAATTGTGCCCTGTTAAAAAGCATTTAACAATCTTTGTTTCTCTTGAGTGATTGTACGGTTGGTAGAAATTGATAGGTTAACTGGGAGGATCAGCAGTTACCTTTCAGTATAACTGTCTGTACTATTGAGGATTTGGGAGGAAACTGTGGCAAAATTGGGACTGGAGTTCAGGTGACATGGGCACATGGCCCAGTACTCTGTCTTCCATGTCACCTCCCTCCCAGCTCCTAGGATCACTTTTATCCAGCATGGTATATAGTTTAAGAGGAAAGATAAGATTGTCATTTGAGGTTCCTGTCAGTATTATGGTCCTATGGGGGAGGCCATGGAATCCTAAGGAATACCAATGGGAGGGAGAACAAAATCAATAGCAAACACAGGTCCAAGAGAAAAGTAAATGGTGGCAGAATGATCCTGGAATTATAAACATTACCTTTAAAAAGTGGCTTTTTCAAACACAATGTGATTGGGTGCTTTCTCTAATGCATCTGAATTTAGTCATGCAGAGAAGGTAAGTAGACTCATTCCTGGTTACTCATTTTTATGAGTAAATTCTCCATTATCCATCATATCATCATGAATTGTGTTACATTTATTAATGATACTTGATTAATCACAAGAGAGACAAGAGCTAATGTCTTCCTTGATCTCGACAATTGCTAGGAATGCAACTGATGGCACTGCTTTCAGACTTTACTGGAATATGTGTGATAGGACATTGACATTCTGTCACAGAGACAATGTGAAACTATAGGTGACTTTGAAGACATTTTTTTCTCTGTGAAAGCTTCTCAATTTTCTTCATAGCTCTCTCTCTCTCTTTTTTTTTCCCCTAACAATTTAAGTCATTTTTGTTAGGGAAAGTTGTACAATCCTGGCCTTGAAAGATTGTTCTACATGTAACCTCCCAGGGAATTTGAATGTGGTAAAATTTGCTGAACTTCACTGAAATGAAAACTGAAACTGTCACTTATTGGAGACGGAAGTGGATCGTAAAACATTGTCAGCATTTTAAGTCTTGGGTGAAGCTTATAAATATTATTGATTGTTTTTAAATTAGAGAAGTGTCTGTGCATTCCATACCAATTTTAGTTCATTTTTTTAGAACTCAAGAAATATATTAGAATTGTATTGCTGGCATGGACCTCAAATGACAATCTCGTCTTTCCTCCTGGACTATAAGCCACACTGGTTAAATGCAATCCCAGGAGCCTGCTGTAAGCAGGGAGGTGGGTTGGAGAACAGAGGGCTGAGCTGTGCACCCGTGTCACCTGTATTCCAGTCCATTTTTAGTTTCCTCCCAAATCACTCAACATCACTGTATCTCAGTTTCCAACTGACTAAATGAGAAAAACGAACAAAACCAATCTCTAGTTCACTTCCTATGTGACTAGTTTTCTGTTGCTGCATGAAAAATTACCACAAACAAACTGGCTTAAAATAATATTATTTATTAACACAGTTGTATAAGTCAGAAGTTCAGGAAGGCTCCCTAAGCTTCTCTTTGCTTAGGGCCCCTAAAATTAAGGTGAAGGTGTTGGCTGGACTGGACTCTTATCTGAACACCCTAAAGAACAATATACTTCCAAGCTCATTTGGGTTGTCAGGGTAGGTTCCTGTGATTATGCAAAGGAGGTCCTTAATTTCTTGCTGATTATGAGCTGGGGGTCACTCTTACCTTTTCGAGACCACCCACATTCCTCATCCCTGGCCCAGGACTCATGTCAATAAATCCAGTGGGTAACTTACCTTTGCTTATCTTGAATTCAATTGATTAATAACCTAATAACAAATGCAAAATACCTATTGCCATGTAACATGATTAGGGGCACTGTATCTCAACATATTCACCATGGAAGGAACTAGGAGTGTTGAAGAAAGCCATTTGGTAACTCTACCTAGCTTGCTAACCCTAGAAACCTTTGACTACATTCTTCAAACCCACAGAGAGTGCCTTTCTGTGAGACTCCCTGCTTCCCTCTCCTCTATCTGGAAATCCTTCCCTGGTATCTACTGTTAGGTTCTCTTGCTGCAATTTAAACTCGTTGCTTCCAGTTCTACCTGTATTCTTAAATCAAGTTTTACCATGGTATATTCCTTAGTTCCAGGAGACAGTGGTATGTTTCTAGAGCCTGATGTTCATTTCAGTACACAGCCAGAACATTCTCAATGATGTAGAGGAATCTGACATAGGAGAATGGACATTTGAGATCTAACCAACTCTAGCAGGTGCTCAGGCAGACCCTTGTATAAGAAGGGGCAAG